TTTGTTGGTCTTGAAGGCTCCACCTTGTTGGTCTTACAGGTGCTACTAGACTCGAACTTTGTTCTGTTTTTTTTCAGACCGACAGGGCTACCCACCTGAATCAGCCTTTCACAAAATTATCCTCTGGGTCTAAATAGCTTACCTAGTCCCAGCCCCTTAACCTTCCCTCCCTCAGTTCCCCGCTTTCACAAGGAGCCTGCAGAAGACGTGCTTCCCCCACAGCTGAGCAAGTCTGTTGGGTGTTACAAGTTAAAAACACTTCCGTATTTACTGGGTTAATGATGTTTGTTAAGTCACATGTTTGTTTGTAACCAATCTGTTTTAGACAGTTAGAAAGCCCGGGAACTTCAGAGCTAGCTTGTTGTTCTGATTGGAAACCAAAGTGCCAAGTATTAGCATTTTATGGCTTCTCTTCCCATCTTGTGTTTTCTTTGTTCTGAGCAAGAAGAAGCAGCCACCATTCTGCCATGTTCAGTTTAGCTGTAAGGATGTAGGAATATTAGCTCTTTGTTATTTTACATCCCGTGTTCCTTTTCCCATGCTAGGTTGTAGTAAACTTTTATATTTTAAACACACCATGGACTCTGCCTCTTTAATACTCTGATGATTTACTTTAAAATTAAGAATCCCAACAGAATCCCAACAAAGTCCCAGCTCCTCACTCATTTTCTTGCCAAAGAAAGAGCAACATCAAAGGATATCAGCCAGGGAAGACCAACAGCAAAATGTTGGAAGTGTTCTTCCCCTGAGAGACCTGGGCACCACACAGAAACCACAACATTTCCGTTTTTGAGACTCATCTTTAATAGGATTTAATTGCACATATTTTTTTTGTAAACCACTGAGAGCCTCCTGGGGCTAGAAAGTGGGATGTGCCCCTTGACATAAAACAAAACACAGTTCCTAATTGTTTGAAAACCCTGGACCCTGGCTGCTAAAATGACACAAACCACAGAGACTTGTGCAAATAATTCTTAATAGGAATCACTGCTTTTGATCACATAAATTGACCCTTTTCAAACTGCCTTTGTATTCCATTTTAGTAACTGGTTGATAATGGTTTTTTCCCCCTGTCATTTAAGACAGACCCATTTTAGTAACTGGCTGCTAGTGAAATTTATTTACCTGTTCACTGAGCCACTTTTCAGGGAAACACTTTTTTTCCGTTTTCGACCCCTTCATTGTGCTTCTGAATTGCTGTGGTATGCTGCTTAAAATGTCCATAGTGCTTCCTACAATGTTGCTTCCCCCCACTTTTCCTACCCTTTTTCGCTATAGCGCTCACCTTAGAACTTTTTTTTAAAAGCCTAAGGAAGATCATGCAGCGAAAAAGGGTGGTGGTGGGGGAAAGCATCACTTTTTGAAATGATCATAGCGCTTCAGAGATGGCTCATTAACAGAAGGATATTTGCTGTATGGAACCCCCGTCCCTGTATCGCTTTACTCAAAATCAGGCCAACAATGAATAACATCCAGTTTAGAATGGTCATGTGAAAAGGGCCATTGTGTTTCTTTGGGGGGGGGGGAGGCACCAAGCTGATATGAAGGCCATCTTGTAAGCTTCTTAAAAGAGAAGGGTGCATGCACGAAAAGACAAGGAAGGCCAACTGGGGGCCAAAACAAAACTATAAAATCAACCAGCAGTAGAAATGGCAAGACAAATTTGCAGTGATCAGAATTCAGAACAACAAAATTTAGCGGGAAAAAACCCCTAGGAGAAAATAAAACCTTTCCCCCCTCTGGCACCTAAAGTGTAACACGCTTGTCACCAGGTAAATCTCTGTGGGGAGGGAACTCTAGAGAGGAGGCGCCACCACAGAAACGGCCCTGTCTTTGACACTCACACATCTTTCTTCTAAAGGCAGGGACATGCCAAACTGAGCACAGACACTGAAGCTGAGCTGAACTGGCCAGCAGGCAGCCCTGCCTACAGCATCATCAGTGTACGTTGGTGATACAGGTGATCACCAACCAAAACACAGATACCTAAACCTGAGGAGCTTATGATCTAAAATGTAACATGAAGAGAGGCAAGAGCAGGAGGGGAGAAAGGTAGAGATAAAAATAAAGAGAAAGAATATTTGCTTGGAGTTCAGTCCTCCCCCCTCAACTGGACTGCCAGAGAAGGCGTTAATATTGATAGGCACAACAAGGGATAAGAGGCAGGGGTTGCTGGGGGGAGCAGCTGAGCCCAGTATGCATGGGTGGCCCTACCTCCACTCAGTAGGATACTTTCCAGACCTGCAGCTCACTCACCCTGTCCCGCCCCCAGCTGCTGCACGTTGGCTTCTTCCAAGGGCTTTAATCAAGGGCAGCTTGTGGTGTTAAGAAGTGACTTTAAACAGGTCTGTCATTTTTGGACTGAGGATCAGGAGGGAGATGAGAGGTTGAAGACAGGAAATAAATCTACGGATAATTAACATTTTAAGCTCCTTCGGTGTTTTGCATGAGAGGTAGAAAAGAGAGCCAAAGACCTCAGGATGGGTCACTGAGACCTATGCTTGCACCTGTCAGTGTAACACTGACCTCCAGTGGCCAGCAGGGGGCAAGTCCCAAAGGGTCTCCCTTTTGTGCCCCTACAAAAGGGAGAGGGTAATACAAGGTTCGGACAGCTACTAAGGAGATTTGGGTTCTGTATTCTGCTTTTAGGCTTCCAAATTTCCATCATGGCCAAAGTTACTCGGACATCTTTGGTCAAAGAATACCATAGTGTTTTAGGAAATGGATTATTTCCAATCCCCACCCCCCAGCACAAGCAACCAACACATACACACACAAAAATGCTGTTGTTTTTTTCCTGATCACAAGCAGAGGAAATTACCAAGAAAAGAAGATAGTATTTATCTTAATTTTCTATTTATTTGTATTTTCCTTTTCCTTTTGTTTAAGAAACTGCTTTTTCCAAGAAGAAACAACGTCAACTAACAAACCAACTTATTATTATTTCCCACATGCCTAACTGCACAAAAACTTGGCTCTGTCTGGACAGCCCCCTAACACATACTTACACACAATGTAACTAGCTACAAACTAGAATAAGCAATGCTTTGTGCAACACAAATTGTTCCTGCAGAGAGCAAGATGTTTGCAAGAAAGCATGGGTTTCGCACATAAGAAGACTCCCACCCCGCCCCTATCACTCACAAGCCCAGTTTTGATAATGCATTCTTTTTGACAGCACATTTAACATCGCTCCCCCCTCCCCAGTGCCCTTTCCCCAGGTACAAAGAGATTCACACCCAGTGGTACATACTGAATCTACAATAACTAGAAGAAGAAGAAGAAGAGATTGGATTTATACCCTGCCCTTCACTACCCACCACTTCGGTGGGAAGGTAACAGCGTTCCATGCGCCTTGACGTTTAGTCATGCCGGCCACATGACCACGGAAACGTCTTCGGACAGCGCTGGCTCTTCGGCTTTGAAACGGAGATGAGCACTGCAACCCTAGAGTCGGACTTGACTGGCTTTCGAGCAAGGGAACCTTTACCTTTACCTTTTCACTACCCAAGGGAATCTCAGAGCGGCTTACAAACTCCTTTCCCGTCCCCACAACAGACACCTTGTGAGGTAGGTGGGGCTGAGAGAGCTCTTGACAGAAACTGCTCTTTTTCAAGGACAGCTCTTATCAGAACTACGGCTTGCCCAAAGTCATCCAGCCAGGTGCAAGTGGAGGAGTGGGGGAATCAAACCCTGTTCTCCCAGATTAGAGTCCGCGCACTTAACCACTACACCAAACTTGCGTAGTTCTGATAATACTCAATCTTTTTCATTAACTCCAACTCTCCAAAGAATGAGAAAACAATATGCACAGATTTGCTTCTATCAGGCATAAGAAGATCATGATCCTCTTTCTGTGGTGCTCCTCCACCGTGCACAACATTTTGATTGGGCAACAGTTCTGGTGTGGTGTGTGTGTGGGGAGTGCTTTTAAAACTACCAACCACAAAACTTGTGTTTTGGATCTTTTGAGGTTGTATTTCTGGGACACATGCAGGTTGCCAGGTGTCAAAAAGCTTCTGCCCTTGCCCCTTGAAGGGGTCAGTGGAAGAATATCAGAGTGGAAAGGGTCACAGGTCCTGACCTAATCCCACCTGACTGACTGTGCATTCTAATGGCCATCTATGTATTGTGGCCACCTATGTACTGTGGTGAGTTTTAATTTTTAATCATATTTAATATTTATGATTATCTTATAACATCTTGTCACTCACCCTGAGGCAAGCCATAGCAGGGGAGAGCGAGCCAGAAATCCAACAAACAAACAAACAAATAATGGGAACTATAATATGCAGTATGTATGAACTGCAGGCTGGAAGGTTGGTAGTTCAGTTTGAAACCCGAGTGCCGTGTGACGGAGTGAGCTCCCGTCTTTGGCCCCAGCTCCTGCCAACCTAGCAGTTTGAAAGCAAGAAATTACAAGTAGATAAATAGGTACCGCTTCGGTGGGAAGGTAACAGCGTTCCGTGCACCTTGGTGTCTAGTCATGCCGGCCACATGACCACGGAAATGTCTTTGGACAGTGCTGGCTCTTTGGCTTAGAAACGGAGATGAGCACTGCAACCCTAGAGTCGGATTCGACTGGATTTCGAGCAAGGGAAACCTTTACTAGATTTTCTGAGTCTGGTCATTAAATACTTATGTCCTTGGTTGTGTCTTCTTTTCAGATTAAAATGCTTTAACGATTGGTACGTATATGGCTTTCTCTTATTATAAGATCGGCCTAGATCTACTTACAGCTGAGAGTCTTCCAGCTACCAACCAACATTGTTCAACCCATTAAAGGGATCCACGAGACACCCACCGCCTTCATTATGCCCAGATTCAGCTCTAGCTGAGACTCTGCTCCCCAGGAACATTTTGTCCTGGATTTTAATTATTTCTTTTGAATTATATCAACAGGGAAATGGGGCTGGGAGACAGCAGTGCCCAGTGAGCTACGATAGCAAAAAGTTACGAGCCCGCCCTCGTGTATTTCTCTGTTGCACATCACAACTCACCTCCCTGGTTTCGTTGTCCTGGATCAATGTGTAGAGGGGGACCACACGGTTAATCTCCAGGAGCACGGGCATCGGACTGAGCTGCTCTTTGCCTGGGCGCCGGCACAAGTGGCATGTGGAGGGGCAGCGCCCTTTTTCTTCACAGCGGATGTCCACGCCCATGATCAGTTGATCATCTGACAGCATCTGGGCAGACAGCAGGCCCGACAGGTAAGTGATGAATGGCATGGACTTCAGCTCCTTCTTGTTGCCAAGTTCAGTCGTTTCTGGTTTTGAGCGAGGAAGGGGAGAGAGAAGGAAAGGAAATGATCATATTTTGGCTCCAAGGACTGCCTTCCACACACTAATACATGAATTCTACTGCTCTGTGCCATGTGCTCCACAAACTGCTCACTCTGCATATGTACAGAGGAGCAAAGGGCTTCTGACAGCCAGCTTGGTGTAGTGGTTAGAGTGTCGGACTAGTATCTGGGAGACTCGGGTTCGAATCCCAGCTCTGCTGTGGAAGCTTGCTGGCTGACCTTGAGCCAGTCACACTCTCTCAGCCTAAGCTGCTGCATGGGTTGGTGTGAGGATAAACTGGAGGAGGAGAATAACAGAAGCCACTTTGGGTCTCCACTGAGGAAAAAAAAGAGGATATAAGCGAAGGTTTAAAAAATTTTGTTTTAAAAAAACAGGCACCTTTCTGTCAGCGAGCTGCCATTGTGTTCTGTGTTCCCTGTATGGCTGTACAGTCCATTCCCCCCCCCCCTCTGCCTGCTAGCTTGTATTTTACTCTGCTGTAACGCTTAAGCCAAACATCTGGAGGTCGTGGTGTAGGAGGTGAGCTTGAATGCTAGCTTGTTGCCTTTAGAGCCTGGGAACTGCACCTATGTTATGTCTGGAGTCAGTAGTATTCCCAGGGATTGAGCGCGCAACCGTTTCCCTTTTACCCGCCAGCGGGAAAGTGATCCATTGGTTGGTACCTTGTTTAAATCTCTTTATTATGCTTGTCCTAGCTGTTTGTACCCATTCCTAACAAAGGACTTGTTTGAGTATCTTTCCAAAGCTTTGAAATAAATTTTGCTTTTCTGAAACATGGATTTATTCTCGATGCTTGGGGATCCAACACTTTCCCGCAGCTCTAAGACACCGTACATTTCTAAATGAATCATGCCCCCCCCATTTAAACAATTAGGCTGGGAACTCATTGTTTTGAGATCCTATCGTGAGGGGAATATGTATTCGAAATGAGCAGGGTTTGAATGGCTGCTACCGAGTTTCCCTTTCCAACTTTCTATGTGGTCAAGGTTTATCCTCTGCTGTCCAACCTGCTAGTTAAGACCCTCTGCCAAAGTCCTGCTGTATCCTCACCTGCAGAGGTGAGGTGGGTGGGCAGGCAACCAGAGACAGGGCTGTTTCAATGGTGGCACCTCCCCTTTGGAATTCCCTCACACTCTGGGCTTATCTGCAACCCACTTTAATGTTCTTTACATGCCAGGCCACAACATTTCTTTATGCCCAGGTTTTTAAATGAGTGGTTCCCTCTCTTTTAGTTGTTTATAAGTTATGGTATTCTGAGGACTGTTCTGTGACTATCATTTTAGGCTGTTGAATGGTTGTTTTGTGTTGTTTGCATGGCTTGCTTTATTATCAATAACAATTGCATTGTTTCTTGTGTTGCTTTGAATTTGTGAGATGCTTCAAACAGGCCTCTGGAGAGACAGCATATAAAGCAGGACAAAAACCACAACAAATATATAAGCAATGCAGAAGAAATAGGAAATGATTTTTTTTAAAGAAAATCTCTAGTGGGTTTTTTTTTACCCCCCCAAAGAGGATTTTTTTTATTTTTGCATTTTCTACACACTACATACTACATATATGGAATTGGGAAAGGAATACTAATGCCCTATCACTATTACTATGGGAAATGGGCCAGGGAGATCTAGATACATATAGTCTACTGGATAGGAGAAGGAAAACTACCATTCTGTTCTAAATCTCCTACTGGATATGGGGATAGGGTAAAGACTAATACAAATCACAATCTGAAAAGCTAAAAAAATAGATATTTTTATCCTATTGGTACAGGTCATACAGAGATTAGTTTGATTATAAAGATATAAAGTTATTAGCTTGGCACAATTACTGCCGTTAGCACTCATGCTTTAGCTTTAGAGTCTTTTCTTCTTAGATTTCTTCATTTTCTTCAGTTTGGGAGCGGCCTCTACTTTCTCCGATTCTCTAGTTTTGATGCAGTAGATCCATATCAAGCTGCTGTACTTCCACACTTGCAAACTCAGTGCCCGCTGCTATCAATGGGCTTTTGAGACCTTCAAGGGCTTTCCTTTAAGTGAACAGGATGCAGAAGTAACAGCCTTTAAGCGCCAGTGTATCATCATCATCATTATCATCATCATCTATGTTATATCTTCAGAGTCATGCTTGGGGTGGCTTAGAATTAAAATGGCATAAAAACTGTTTACAGAATAGAAGCAAACCATTAAACATCACAGAGAGTGATTAAAATGTGGAATTCACTGCCAGAAGATGTAATGATGGCCACAGGACGAAGCAGCATTAAAAGGTTAGATAGATTCATGGAAGATAAGTCTATCAATGGCTACTAGCCATAGTGACTGAGGGGAACCTCCACATTCAGAGGCACTAATCCTCTGGAATCCCAGAGCAAGGAGGCAACATCAGGGGAAGGCCTCGGCCTCTATGCCCTGTTGTTGGCCCTCCAGAGGAACTATATGAGACAGGATGCTGGACTAGATGGACCACTGGTCTGATCCAGCAGGGCTCTTCTGATGTTCTTAAAAACTGGTAAGATAAAATCCCTAATTAAAAGCCTGGGTAAAAAACAATAAACACATTCTGGCCTGGTGGCTAAAAGCAAGTGGAGTAAGAGCCAGGCAAGCCTGAAAGGGGAAGGCTTTCCAAAAGTGAGGCGTGACCACAGAAAATGCCCTGTCTCCGACTGCCACCTACCTCACCTCTGGAGGCACTGACAGCAGGGCCTGAGAGGCAGGACCCTCTTCCCTTTTCCTGTGCATCTCTCTTAAAAGACCAAGGACTGGATGTGATTTCCAGCTCTCACTGTAGTTGACACGAGTTGGGTGATGGTGTATGAACTGGAGAATGCTAGGCAGAAATTCAGTCCATACACCATCACTCAGCTCTTGTCAGCTTAGGGATGCCAGCCTCCAGGTGGGACCTGGGGACTCCCAGAATTACAGCTCATCTCCAGACTACAGAGGTCAATCCCCCTGGAGAAAGTGTCTGCTTTGGAGGGTAGATTCTGTGGCACTGTACCTCGCTGAGGTCCTTGTCCTGCCCAGGGTCCATCTCCAAATCTCCAGGAGTTTCCCAACCTGGACCTGGCAACCCTCTGCATCCCCCGCCGGTAGCCAGGAGGGACCTGGCAACCCTATACAGTCAACTATAGAGCTGCTAGCCCAGCTCAAAGACTTATTGCATAGGCAGGGAAGGTGATGTTTCCTGACCGCCTGTAAATGCTGCTCTTTGGATCTGAGCAACTAGAAGACTTGCTCCCCCTGGCTATGAATTGACTTTGCCTTGTCCCGTTTTCAGTTTCACATGTGCTGAAACAGACAGACTGGATGAGGATTAGAAAGCAGATCAGGGGAATTGCGATCAGGGCCAGAGAAGAAAATTGTTACTGATTTACAGAACTACTTTTTTAAACATTGAAAAACTATTTAATACACACACACACAAAACTGAATGCGGGGGGGGGGGAAGGACAGCATTTGCTACAGGCATAATTGTGATGGGGGGAAATGTGTATGGAACACCCTTGATATTTTAAGGATGAGAAGACTCTAAGTGAGATGCTGGCTGAAAAAGAAGCCAAGGCCATCACACTATCTCCCCCCTCCTGTCTTATCTTGTTTTCCTAGGAGGAGCTTGGGACAGATTGCATTGTTCTCCCCTCTGCAATTTCGCCTCTTAACAACCCTCTGAAGTAGGCTTGGCTGAGTGAGTGTATGTGGCCGGAGGTTACACAGTGATCTTGATGGCAGAGGAGGGATTTGAATCAGGGTGTGGTTAAGAAGCTGAACTGCAGGCTGTGGAAGGTCAGTAGTTCAGCAGTTTGAGCCCCGGGTGCCGCATGATGGAGTGAGCTCCCATCTCTAGTTCCAGCTCCTGCCAACCTAGCAGTTCGAAAGCAAGAAATTGCAAGTAGATAAATAGGGACCACTTCGGTGGGAAGGAAACAGCGTTCCGTGCGCCTTGGTGTTTAGTCATGCCGGCCACATGACCACGGAAACATCTTCGGACAGCGCTGGCTCTTCGGCTTTGAAACGGAGATGAGCACCGCAACCCTAGAGTCGGATTCATCTGGCTTTTGAGTAAGGGAACCTTTACCTTTACCTTCCCATTCCTAATCCGACACTCTTAACACACACTGCACTGGCTCTCAAAAGCTTGTGGCAGAATGCCTGGATTAACTGGCCTGCAATTTGACATCACACTCTTGTTTGGAACACGATCCTTGCCCTCTATCCGCTGTTCCCCCAACCAGGAAAACAGAAGGCTGTTACCACTGGCAAGAGTTCTTTAGAAAAAGTTTAAGACGTCGCCCGAGGCTCTTGCGTGCCATGATATGTTGCTCTTCAGCAAGGTTCCCATTCCCCTGATGGGGGCGGGGGGTTGCCTGCTTTTGCGGCCCCCGATCTGCCAGCCTTGATCCGGCCAGCGGGGGGAACCCCACCCCCCCAAAGTGCCTTCTTTGCGCCAACGTGCCCAGTGCAATGACATCACCTGGAGGTGACGTCATCGAGCAGGGCACGTTGCAGGGAGGGGGTACTCGATCATTTAAGGAAAAACCATAGTTTTTTTCCTTAAATGATATAGTGTCCCCTCCAACGTGCCCTGTGTGATGATGTCACTTCCAGCCAGTGATGTCATTGCAGCATGTGGGCTTCGCGCACATCCCGAAGAAACCCTGGAGAAAAACTGGGACTCCCTTGCCGGCAGTCAGGTAAGACCTGGCACCCCTACTCTTCAGCAATGGAAACGGCCAACTAGGCTAAAATACATGCAATGTTCACCCATCTCTATAGCCTTTGGAGGCTGCAAGAGAGTCCACTCCCTGCAGCCTCAGTCACTGCTCTGTCTGGCTAACAGTAAAAGCCAGTGTGACCTGGATCAAAAGCATTGCAGGAAGACCTTGTGAATCTTTCACTGGGATTAAAGCAAGATCAATTACAGAAAATGAACAAAACAAGCCTACTGAAGGAAGCCTGTCAGAGTC